AAGAAAAAAAAAGTCCCTAATTTAGCAAAACAAATTAGAGTGGTTTTTAATTTTAGTCTGGACAGACTGCAGTACATGGGCATTTCTACATAATAGAAATTATAGCCTAAATTTGTATGGTGCTTCTATTAGGCAATATTGACACATAATCCAAACATCTTCACTGCATTAAAATATTTTCCATGTAGGACTTCAAAACTCAGAATTTACATGAAATTATGTAACTTTGAAATTACATGAAAGTCTCTTATTTTTTGTCCCTATACATTTAAATAAAATATGCCTGTGTTACCTTAATAAAATCAAACTCAATAAAAGCAGGAAATTTACTTCTATTTTTCCAGTCATATATGTTGAGAAGAACACCTGACAGTTAGGAAATACTCAACAATAATCTGTTAAGTAAATTAAAGAATGACTCTTATGATAGTTCTCAAAGAAGAAATGGGAAAATTACTTAAATATCAAATGTATGGAATTAACAAAACAAATATGGCTATGTATTAGAATATATTAAAATTACCTAAAATTCATAATAGTTTGGGGGAGGAATTGAAAAATATAAACAATATCAATACATACTTTTACTTGGTAAAGTATAATGAAAAATATCATAATTCAAGAAGTATGAAGTGAAATAAAATACTGAGCATTACTATGAGGCCAGATATTTTTACTTCTACTTTTAGACTATCCTTTATAAAATATGTAAATGAATTTGCATTATTTTGTAATGTTTAAGCACTCACATAGCTTTGTATTTTTAAGAGGGTTATGAAGACCACCTTGCTATGTGTAAAATAGTTAGGAATTATTTAAATCTAAATAATAATATAAGAATACCACCTAGATTACCACTCTGAAGAGGCTACATTGATAATAAGGTGTTGGGGACCGAGGCCAGCATCTGGAGTCTGTCAGCAGCCATAAAAAGGTGAAATGGAGTCCGGATAGAGAAAAACATCCGGGTTGCAAAAGGCATGTGGGAAGAACTCCCTGCCCCCACCTTTTCCTTTTCCTCTTTCTTTTCTCGCCCACTTTCGCCCCTCGCGAGATCAACTGCCACCAAAACATGTTGCATTTCTATTGGCCTTCTCCCTTCCTGGCATCCCTCTCCTCCTGTATAAAGCTGAGATAAAAACCTAATAAAAGCTCTTTCTTTGTTCTGCTACACGTGTGTGACTGCTTCCTTTGTTCACCAGACCTGGGGCCCCGAATCTCCGGCCTTGCTGGTCAAGGTCCCCCGCAAAGTGGCGCCCAACGTGGGGCCCCCAGGCTCACCAGCGGTTTTCTTTCTCTCACTGGTCATCGGTTTCCTTCTCTTTTTCTGACCGATGATCCCCCGGGCCCAGGCCCTATAAAGTTTTGCCAGTTTTTCTTTATCGGATGTTAGCTCCCTTGCCTAACAGTCCCCCGGGCTCATGCCCCCTGTTTTATGAAAATTTTGAAGGTGTTTTACGTCTGCAGACCCCGTTTCTTCGCCGCCTGATCAGCGGAATTGACCTCTCCTACGGGTAAGTCCCCCTTCTCAGAAGCTTCCAACTCACTGAGGACTATAGCGGGGACTCTGGCCGTGATTGTCCGGCAGACCTCCGACGTCCCAGTGAGAGGGGAACGCACCCCACCATGGCCTTTACGGCTACGGTGGACCCCTGGATCTTCCTCACCCTAGATCCTTAAACTGTTATAGCTTCTATTTTGCTGCCATTTTAGTTTTATGTTTGTTGTAGCCTTTTTAGGTTTTATGGTTTATGTTAGTTTTATGTTTGCTGTAGCACCAACACGGCATTAAAAACATGGGACAGGAGCTTAGTCAGCATGAATTGTATGTCTCCCAGTTAAAAGACACTCTTCAATCTAGAGGCATTAATGTTAAAACCAAAGATCTCCTCAGGTTTTTAGATTTTATAAAAGAAACTTGTCTTTGGTTCCCCCTCAAAGGCACCATAGATTATAAACGTTGGTTACGAGTGGGGGACGCCCTCAATGATTATTTCAGAACATTCGGCCCTGGCCCTCCAAACCCTGCCCCTGTTGCAGAAAGGGATATCATTGGGCTAGAGACTGTCGTTCCACCACCATATAGAAGGAAAGCCCTTGCCTCCCCGCTTATCAGACCCAAACGTAAGCCACTCCTTCACCCCTCAGCCGGGAAACGCCAGGAGGGGCCAGCTCCCAGCCCCGAAATTAACAATGGGAGCATTCACCGCGGGGTGGCCTCAGACAGTGCCCCCCACCCATCCTTTTCAGACCTCACAAGGGCCACCCCAGGCAGCACAGGACTGGACCTCTGTCCCTCCTCCGTTCCAGTTCCATCTCTGGGGGTCAACCTCAGAGGACTCTTGCCAAATGCTATTTGGCAGATGGATGTTACTCATCACACCCCTTTTGGGCGTATGCGTTTTGTTCATGCGTAAGACATTCTAACCCGCAGCCCAGGGAGGGGCCTTCAGTCCCCCCCTGAGGCCAGTTTCTCTCTCTTGTCTTTTTCAGAAAATACTCGTCCATCTGTGACTCTACAATCTACAATAGGTTACCAAGTCCAGGATGGCTGCTGGTCCGGGGATACCAAGTCCGTCTTCTGACAGATGCCTCCCATCACACCAGCCACGGTCAAAGACGATGAATAAAACCCCCCTTGTTGTTGTTTATTATTGCTCTTTCTTTTTCTGCTGTCTCTCCAGAAAGCCCACACACCACAAAACATCTCACATGGCAGGTAACATCTCACATGGCAGGTCTGGCCAACTACCGGCACTCATACTCCATATTCCTGGTGGCCTACACTCACCCCCGATTTTTGCCAATTGGCTGCAGGGCTAGACACTTGGGACATACTCACCATACAACTAGGCCAGTTAAATGGCACAACACGACTCGTGTTTCATGGCTCTAACGTTGCAATCAACAAAATTGGTTTGATGGGTGGCTTAAAGGATCTCCCTGGCTTGCTACTCTGCTTTTGGCCATAACAGGCCCCCTATTGCTACTCCTTCTTTTACTGACTATTGGCCCATGCATTTTCAACCGGATTGTTGATTTTGTAAAACAGCAGGCTGATAAGGTCATGTCGCTCCATTATCACCAACTAGAAATGCGCGACAGAGCCACTGATCAAGGTTGCCCATAAGTGCCTCGCTTTCAGAGCTGGGCTGGTAGCCAGAGACGGGTAAGATGGACATCTCTCGTGACCAACCTAAGACAGGCAGGTAGACAAAAAGAGCACGCGTGCAGTAATCAACTTTTGCTATCTCCGAGCTGATGATGGGTAAGGCACAAAGAGTGAGTCCACAACCTAAGACGGCACAGCCCCCTGACAAATACCCTACATCATACTCGCTGTTTCTTGTAACAAAACAGAAACGGGGGAGATGTTGGGGACCGAGGCCGGCATCTGGTGTCTGTCAGCAGCCATAAAAAGGTGAAATGGAGTCCGGATAGAGAAAAACATCCGGGTTGCAGAAGGCATGTGGGAAGAACTCCCTGCCCCCACCTTTTCCTTTTCCTCTTTCTTTTCTCGCCCATTTTCGCCCCTCGCGAGATCAACTGCCACCAAAACATGTTGCATTTCTATTGGCCTTCTCCTTTCCTGGCATCCCTCTCCTCCTGTATAAAGCTGAGATAAAAACCTAATAAAAGTTCTTTCTTTGTTCTGCTACACGCGTGTGACTGCTTCCTTTGTTCGCCGGACCTGGGGCCCCGAATCTCCGGCCTTGCTGGTCAAGGTTCCCCGCAATAAGGAAGGTATGATGATTAAGATTTGTTAGATAGTTAAATAGTTACATTCTGTTTCTCTTTCCATCTTGGTCTCCCCAGCCCCATTGCTTTTTATATTACATTAGCGATTTTGCTAAAAAGAAATCAATTACAAAGCTATCTCTTTGGCCATTTTAGCCATTATATCCAATTGCTTGAATTGGGTACAATCTCCTTTCTGCAAATACTGGTACATCATTTAGAGTTGTCAGAGCCTTCTTTGATAACAATAAACTGAAACATATAAGAACTGTTTTCATCATTAGGTCACAAAAGAAGTGAAACCATTCAGAGTAATAACCTATATTTTTAGGTATCTTGCACCATAGTGACTGTAAATTAAATATTAACCTGTGGGGGGGTGAAACATTATGTACATATGTTGTAATCTTTTCTTTTGTTTTTCTGTTTTGGACATTTCTAATATGTTTCATTATGTACAAATACTCTAACACTTTCTACTCTATTATAGAGACTTAACTGAAGGGAAAATACTGACAAAAACATAGGGATTTTTTTGTTTGTTTGTTTTGGTTACACAACCAAGATTAACCTTAACAAGGATTTAATCAATCTATACCATTGCCATGTCTACAGACCCTAGAATAGAATCTAAATGTTGATTATTATTTAGGTTTTATAAAATTTTCCTAACTTTATTCTTTAGAATGTTTGTAATAACCACTTGGAATGCTATAGTATTCTTGATGATTTCCTATTGCAAGTATCCCATATATAGTATAGATTAAACTTATTTATAATTGTATATTATTTGGCTTATTCAGAGAGATAACAAGATTAAAAAAAAAATATATGCCATCCTATTTACTGCATTTTAAAATTATATAACTTATTCAAATCATGCTCTTGTATTTTATTCAGTTTACACACACACACACAGACACACACAAAGTAATAATTGAGATTGAAATGCAGATTCATTCCAACTGAACTTTTTCCTCCTCTTCAATGGATTCTTGCCTCATATGTTCCTATTCCCCTCCACTGACTAAGGGGCTACAGAACCTATTTATTAATTGTTTATATTTTTATGCTTGTGTTTAAGCATATCGCTGTGCACTATCTATATATTCACTGTACTATCTTTTCTCATATATATTTTTCTTCCTTATCTTTTTTTAACCCATGCATCTTTTACTTTCCTACGTTATTGAAAGTACTGAGTCCAGAACCACTGTTTTCTGAGAAAAATGATTAAGACCATCCCTACTTATTGATCATACCTTGAGAATCTTGCACATAATCTCATAAATTGAAAATGTTTTCTCTGCTCTGGTCCAGTCCCAGGTAGTTACCTTTAAAAGATGAGAAACTAACATGTCATTTGTTTTCAGAGGATAACCCCGATTTACTTTATTTTATTTATTCATGATGGTATATATGGATTCATGATGGTATATATGGCAAACAATCAGATATGTACTCTTTAGCCCCTCTGTTGTTAAGTTCTCTTAGAAAGGTCTGTACGTAATATATATTTTTTTCCTCTCCTTCAAAGTTTTATTACCATATATATATTTTAACAAAAGTTTTATGTTATATACAGTAATTTCCATTTGCCCAAATTACCTAGGTATTTTAAATAATGTGTGCTTTGTTTATATAGAAATAGTAAACACTAATATTTCATACATATAGTGTTTTTTTCTCAGTTTATTAATAGCTATAGGCAGTGAAGAATACTAGATATCAACACCAGCTTTAAGTTTTGAAAAGACAAAATTTATATTAGTAAGGCATTCCAAGATGGGAACACATTTTGACATTGTTAAGTGCCCAAAGATGTTTTTTTGTTTTAAGTTTTAAATAATCATAAGAAGCTATTCAAAGTAGAAATGAACATATTTTACTTTGTTTGTTTTCTTGGTGATACAAGACATTCACAACAGCAGCAAGTTGAACTTGGTAACTGCTAGACCCTCTGAATTATTGATAAGTGTAAGTGAGTAGTCTTGTGCCTGATATTTATACTTTATATATTTTTATTGAATATCTACTATTGCATAAATTACATGTTTCTGAAAGCTAAACCTTAGGTAAATAGGTATCCATATATACATATTTAATACAAAGCCCAATGAGTAGGATATGGGACATAATATATTATAAACAATTATTTCCATAGATTTTTATCACATAGATAAACTTATTTTTCGACTGTCATAAGTATCTACACATAAATACATTACATTTTTCATTAATTATGAAAATGTTTAATGCTGAACATAGGTCCATTATATATTTTTCAGAAACATGTGGATTATTTTATGTATCTTACTTTGAAAATATCTTGATAATTTGCTTTTGTGAAGTTGATGCCACAACAATGCAGTAAAACTGGGTAAATAAAAAATGTTGGATGAAAACACTTACTGGAGGTGCCATAAATTTGTAGAGACATGAGCCCCTGAGAGCTAAAAATGTTGGAGAGTATACACGATCTTGTAGTGGATCCTGCTCCCGTGCTTCACACCAGCCCATGTATACAATCTGCAAGGAAATTGAATACATTTAATTATAAAATAAGTGTCATTGAAGATATCTCATGAATGTTTTGTATATTGTGACACTTTAATTCTCCCATAAAATTATTAAATTAATGCAAAGTACATTAGCAATAAGTTAATATTAACAAGTTAATCTGAGCCATATTAAAGTTGTTGTCATATTTATGACAGCATTTATAAAATGCTAGTTTATACGGTACAACTTATTTGGTATTACATTCATCACTATCTACTACCCTTATGCATTTTTGTAATAAAGTGAATAAATTGATCCCTCCAGTTTACCAAGTAGAAACATTTTGTTATATGGAAATATGCTCTTGGGATAAATATTTCAGTGGACAAAGATGATAAGAAGAGATAGTTGATGTGAATAATACTAGTGTGTATATCACATACCCCTGGGATGATATCATTTCTCACTTCAGTCACTAATAGCAGATAAATATATATTTTTCGAGCATTATTCAAATGCCAAATGTTAGTGATACCAATTATTTTGCCTTTAGCTCTAAAATGTGGAGAGTTGATTTAAAAAAATAAACTCAATGGATACAACATCTCTCCATCATTTGGTAGTCCTTTGCTCTTTAATTAGGGTTTGTATAGTCTAACTCTTAGATTACTCACATATTACTTTGAAAACCATAATCTACCAAGTCACAAAATCAGAAATAACTTTGACTCAGTTAACATGTGTGTGTGTAAAAGTAGAGGATAGTCTTTATTACATTCAGTTGTACGTGTCAATAACTGAAGTAAAATTAAAGCAAGAGAAAGATAGTTTCCACTTTCAGTTGTTATGCTTTGTGCAATTCAGATAACCCATTAACTGAAACTATCTTGGGAAAATAGCAAAATTATTTTTAATGTAATTAAAGCACTAGTTAATTTGTAATGTACTAAAGAATGAGCAGGGTAAAACAATATTCACATGAAAAATGACAAAGGTAAATCTAATCATGGGTCAGTTTTTGTCATTGAGGTATTTTTTAAGTGGAAGTAATCCATAAGAGAATGTGTTTCTTGTGCTCTCACAGATATAAGACATACTGTTAATGCCCAGGCACTTCAAATATGGTGGCCTTAGTTCAAATTCTACTTTTATTTAAGATCAAATATTACTAAATCTCCAGAGATTCAATTCTCCCTGGAGTCTTTCTGAAGAAAATGGAAATTCTCTCTGATGGTTCTGTTTTTGTACAAAATAATGATAACCAAAATACAAGGAAATAAAATATCACAAAGTACATCAGGAGAACAATATGATCAACAGACAGTAGACAGCAGAACTCAGTGTTTAGTCATTCTGTATATTGGAATTCTCTAGCATGGACATTAACCTTGACATATTTATTCTCTAGAAAGCAATGAAACAAGCTTGGAACATTTATCAGACCACATCTGGTATAATATATTTTATTATTTTAAACTTTACTGAAGTAATGTTTGTTTATAACATTATATAGTTTTCATATATACATCATTATACATCAGCATCTGTATATATAATATTAATTCTACCAATAAAGGTCCATTCTATTCTTCATATACAATTGGTCCCTTAACTCAAATTTTCCACTCCTTTTTGCCCCTTCTTTTCTCTCTGCTTGCTATTAATTAGTTTTTATAGTCGAAAAGTTTTTTTTTGTTGTTGTTCTTTTTGTTCACTTCTTTGGTTTCTCTACACATGAATGGAATACTATCCCCCTAAATCACAAATCATAATAGCCTCTATTTCCATCAGTGTTGTTTTAAATGGTAATATGTCATAATTTTTATATCTAAGTAGTATTTCTTATTGTATATATATTCAAACTTCTTTATCCAATCATTTGGAATTGGACACTTAGAAAGTTTCCAACTATTAGCTAGTATAAATGTTGTGAATAACACAGACTTCCATGTGTTTTATTTTCTTAGGGTAAATAACAGAAGTGGAGTAACTATATTCCATGGAATTTCTATTTACAATATTGAGAAAAATATGTATATTTTATAATGACTATAAAATTCATACTCCTTTTATACTACATAATGTTTCCTTTCTCTATGAGCCCTCTCCAATATTTTTTTTTTGTTTTTATCTTCTTGATAATAGCAATTTTCAAAGGTGGGAGATGATATCCCTCTCTCTCTTTTTTTTATTTGCATTCCACTGCATGTAAGAGACTTTTCATATGTTCGTTGGTCATCCGTATATCTTCTTAGAGAAGTATATAGTCAGAGCTTTGTCCAAATTTTAATTAGTTTGTTGTGTGTTGTTGAAAGTTAATGTTTTTTTATAAATTTGCATATTAAGAATTTGTTGAATGTATCACTTGCAAATATATTTTCTTATATATAAGGATGCCTTTTCATTTCAATTTTAATGTCTCTCTGACATAACCAATTTTAAAATACCAGTTAGAAGCTCAGGAAATATGTAATTATAAGGCATAACTTTAGTAAAAATATAAATTAAAATAAATGAAGAAATAATTGTGAATTGAAATATGAATCAAAATATAGGATGATGAATAAAGTAATACATATTTGGGAAAAAATAAAAACTATGAGAAAGGTGTGGTGCAGTTAGAAGTATATAACAATTTTTAGTCTCTAGGAAACAGATTAAGAGGAAATAGGCAGAAAATCTATTTGAAGAGATGATGATAAAAAATTTCCCCAGATAGATAAAGAAGAGAACAATTCAAAAATTCCAACATTTAACATTATATTTTACTACACAGGGTATATTTTAAAATCTCTAAAATAGCTATTTCAGTACAAGTGATAACCTATTATTTCAAAAAGGTGCAAGATAATAAAATACCAATCTGATTTTCTTTTTTTTTTTTGGGGAGGGGAGAGGTATAACATCCCATAAGATTCCTCCCTGGTGGCACAGCAGGTTAAAGCACAGCACTAAGAAGCTAAAGTCACTTCCACATGAGTTCAATCCCTGCCTGCCCCGGGGGTGATCACATGGTGCGGCAGACCTCTCCTGACCCGCCCACTGCTCCCCTCAGCAGTGTACTTCGTCCATCTGCCTGTTCTGCTCCCCATTCTGTCCCTGAATCCTCTCCCCCTCCACATTTCTGGCCTGTACCCCAGTTCTGTATAAATAAATAAATGAATCATAAAAAAAAAAAGAGAGAGATTCCTTTAAAGGTTGAAGAAGAGAAGGAAATGAAGAAAAGGTGTCAGAAGAGGATTTTTGCTTTGTTTCTGGGTGAATAATCTCAAAGTACCACAGAGAGAAACTGATCAGAGAGGGTCTAAGACATCAGAATAGCTTTGAGCATGCCAAAGGGACACTAAGGGAATTCAATTTCATACAACAAATGGAGGAGAGAGACCGCTAGAAACTGCAGTGAGGGTGGAAGATAGCAGTGTAAATTTGTGCTCACGTGTATGGCTCTTTACCACAGTGAGAGATGAGCTTATTAGTGAGACAGTAAGTACACCCTCACCTGTAGGGGAAAACACTTGGAGAAGTTGCGATGTGCCAGATTCTCCAGGTCCCCAGTTAGGATGACAGGTCCAGAGCTGTACTCCCAAACCCCACCACTGATAACATCTGGACGCATAGAGAAGTGTTGTCATAACATGAGTCATTTCCCAAACAATACTTTCAACAGTGCTTGGATCTCTCCAAGTGCCTCCACAACTCCTTGACTCAAAGCTGCAGATAAACTCACCCTGACATAAAAACCACTGGCATGTCAAGTCAGAAAAATACTTAAAAAATAGAAATGACAAAACAAAAAAAGCAGGTCATTATGCTGGTGTATGGGTACTCTATACCAACAGGGAAGTTAATAATAATAATAATAATAATAATAATAATAATAAAAACCTGTGAGACAGGAAGGCTACAAAATGGGCAAGATGGGTACCTAGAAAAATATAAAATGTGGAACCTTAGGCCCTCCCTGGTGGCGCAGCGGGTTAAAGCACAGCACTGAGAATCTGAAGCCACTTCCGCATGAGTTCGATTCCCGCCTGCCGCCTGCCCCGGAGGAGACCACATGGCGAGCCAGACCTCTCCTGACCCGCCCGCTGCTCCCCTCAGCAGTGTACTTCGTCAATCTGCCTGTTCTGCTCCCCACTCTGTCTCTGGTGAAGCCTCTCACCGTCCCTGAGCCTCTGGCCTGTACCCCAGTTCTATATGAATAAATAAATAAATCTTTAAAAAAAAAATGTGGAACCTTGAACCCTCAAGGGAATATTTCACTAGAGAGAGAAATAATTCTATAGACTTGAACCAATAAGACAATAAGCCATAGAAGGTATTTCCTTCCTATCAGATTCAGAGTTCAAAACTGCCTTGATTAAAAAAAAAAAAAATCAAAGTGGGCTCTCCTGATGGCCCAAAGGGTTAAGTCTCAGCACTATCAAGCTATTGGCAGCCACTGCAGCATGTTCGTACCTCAGCCAGGAAGCTGACCCAAATGGCACAGTAGACCTTTCCTGTCTTGTCTACTGCTCCCACAGCAGAATATTTTCGTAAATCAGTCTGTTCTCCTCCCCACTCTGTCCCTAGTGAATCACCTCAACCTTTGAGCTATGCTATAGCTCTTGTATGCATAAATAAATGAAATCAATCCTTTTTAGTAAATAAAAGAAATGGAAAACACACACACATGTTGACTGAAGAAATACAACAAAAGAAAGATAAACAAATTTAAGATTATAGAAAATGCAGCTTTAAGTAAGAAACAATAGGTTCAAAATCCAAAGGACCAATAAAGGAGAGAAAAATTATTCTACAGCACGCTACAGAAATAGAACAGATCACTCAGAAGACTGAATCAGTGACCTTGGAGAGGGTAATGCATAGAGCCCAGGTGGCAAAAGATGATGGCAGAAGGAAAAATGATGAAGAAACACTGAGAATTATTGATTCGAAGAGGAAAGGCAATATAAGAATCATGAGTATTCCAGAAAGTGATGAGACAGAAAGATAAGAGGACTTATTCAATAGAAATAATAAAGGAA